AACCGAAAAGCTAATTCTTGTACTGATGCTCGTGTCAATCCGAACAAATGACTTTCAAGGAATTTAATGTGCTCAAGTAATTGCATTTCCACATCAGGTGGAAAGGTAGCTTTCCAACAACCAAGGCCAAGGCGAATTTGACTCCAAAGTATTATTAGTGCCTGAAAATACCTGCACAGAGCTGCTTGAGTTACACCAAATGTTTTTCAAACTAATAACCAACCCATTTTCTTATCTCGAACTGCCTCGATGGCTTTCTTCATTGACCCTCCAAGATTGCCGATCAGTCATTCGTTTATAATCGCTTTTGGTATCTGATAAAAATACATATCTACCTACATATAACACAAAAGCTATGGACTATATGACATACCTACGCCATTTTGTCCGTTAGTTATGCATGTCATTTTGTTTGTCAATCGTTTCAAAACAATAAAATTTGTAAATAAATATACAAAGATCACTTTTTCTGAAAAAAAGGTATTCAATTTGAAGGTAAGTATTTGGGAAATGAAATATATGCTACATAAACAGATAAAATAGCAGAAACCATTTGAACAAAAACTTTGTCAGTATGAAAAAAAATCGTAAAGTATAAATACCTGTCATCGACCATGACACCAAGACGCATGGAATGGATGCGTTCAAAATTTGACAGATTATAGAGTGCCGTTATGGTCACGTGGTGTCACTGTCAGTTTCGTGTTGAAGTTAGTCAAATTCAAAATAACTAGCCTATGTCATTTTGTTATGTCATGTATGTATGAAACAGGGATGGTTTATAAATCTAAATCTTCAACTGAATTTGGAACTCTTTTGGTAATGAATCTACTTTCATCAGTCTTTTGAGTGAAATTTGGTGTTTCTTTAAGTGGTTTCGATATCAATAATAAACAACTACTGGAAAAGGCGTAATTATCGCAATGAAACATAAAACATCAAAGACGTCAATTAAGTGAATTAACAACAGAATATGAAAATTAATGAACGTTTTTTATCATCTGAAAGTGTCAGTATAAAATCAACAAAAATATTATGATCCATTGAAGAATAACAACTATCACAGTTAAAGTTAACCATGATTTTGAACATTATGTGAACTCTTTCATTCCTTTCAATACAATCCAATTATTTGTAGGTACCTAGTTTGGATTTTCGACATGTAGTAAAATATTATGAGCATTTAATTTCCACAGAATCATGTTGATGTACTTGTATCTGCAAACAATTTGCAAAGAAAATCAGTAAGTTTCACTAAATTCACAAAACTGCACAATAATTCGGTCACTAATACCTTATTGTCGATGGTACATATTAAAAAAGTAGAAAGAAAACAAAATGAAGGAAATATAAGGGGATGCATTCGTTAACCAATGGAAAGCATGTCACGCACATGAATGCACATTTATTGATTGTTCAACAACCCCTTCGCTCTTCCCAACCTGGACAGTAACGAAAAGACACTCAGCATTCCTGTTGATCTCTCTGGAGCTTTCGAGACTGTAAACTACGTGATGCTTGTCGATAAGCTTGAAATTACGGACTTACACGTCCTGCTCTCAACAAGATACAATTTTTTTTTCGACAGATCACAGGACCCAGCATGAAAGATGCCTCTTCTTGTATTGAATTTCTCATAGGCGTCCCCCAAAGTAGCATCCTTGCTCTTACCCTCTTCCTTATTTTCATAAACGACATTTCCGAATTCTCCAAAACTATTTTTCGACGATACGTCATTTACAATCCACTCTCATGACCTCAGCACCCTATTTTGTCGTGCCACTGATGCAGTTGAATCTGTAAAATAATTTTGCAGAAGCTTAGATAGGGGAAGTCCGGGCAAAGCGAACGCCCTGGGTCAAGCGGATAGACTTATCACAAAATGTTACTAGATGGCGCTATACGTTTTTAGCAGCTTGTGAGAGCAAACGGCCACTGACGTCTTTACAGTTCTAAAAACCATGTCAATATCGCGCGTAATTTTTATGAAGAACAATCAAATATTGAGTGTTTTCAAAAAACACATCAGTGTGAGATTTCCCCAAAAACGCAACATGTGTTTCGCCACACAATACTTTTTAGGAGGAAATGGAATATGTTTAACTCGCAATTATTCCTTTATTAGACGTTACCACACGAGACGAAGTCGAAATTTACCCTTGCCAATCCCAAAATCAGCAATTACAAAATTATCTTTGATATATGAGAGCAAGAGAATATACAATCACCTTCCATTGTGCTATAGGGCAATAGCAAATAAAAAAAAATCAGTACTTCTACAAAAAGGCTTAATGACTTAAAGAAATATTACGATGATGTGTTTTAGCTCTCAGTATTTTAGATGCTTACATATCTGTAATGATTTATTCATTTGTTATCTGTAATGGTTTATATATTGTTTTATCTATGTGTATTCGTATATGTACATTTTTGAGACTTTTGAAAAACACGATATATTACATGTAAATATATAAACTGTACTTCAATATATCAATATATCAATATCAATATCAATATCAATATCAATCAATTTTGGAAATTTTCAAAATACATTATTACTGGCTATTTTCCTAAAGTGTTGTATTATGCTAAGTAAATACAAACTGTTTCTGTTATCTTTTTCTGTCCTATTTTGTTACATATATTCAGTATCTACTTGTATATTATTTTATAGTTTATAGTTTTATATGACTAAGTATATGGCAGCTAATATGTGTAATTTCATTTGTTTGTTTTTTTATACAATCATTTTAACCAAGCTTTGCCAATAAGATATGAATCTTCAGACAATAAAGCATATTTTGACTTTGACTTTGATACCAATTTTTGAAGATAATCGCTGATTGGAAATGTGATTTTTTTTTATTTACTGGGAAAATGTCAGAGGTCAAAGAAGCTAATAGAATATATAGCTGCAGTATGTGAATATATATTTTTAGGTGCCAGCACATTTTTTCTGAATGACAATAAAGTTTTTCTGATAGATTCTTCAATATTTTTGCTGCAAATTTTCTAATGTTTGATAAACTGCTTCAGCATTTTCGTTCTGTTTTTTCGTATAACATTGAAAAAAATTCAAGATAATGAATTACTTCTATTATTCTAGAGTTAACATAAATATTTTTTTTGATATTGTAAAGTTTCTTGATTTTATTGAAGGTTTGTTAGTATCAAAAATATTGCTGATGTTCTTATCTATTATGAGCTGAAAGATATTTTAAAATTATTATATAATTTTTTCAAAAATTCAACAAAATTGACAAAAAAATATTATCATAAGTCACTTGATCATATTCATATACGTAGTTTTAATAGTCATTCTGCCGAAAAACCAATATATGACAAACATGAAGAGTAGCAACTCAAGAAAGTTGTCATCCAGAAGCAAACTTGAAATGCAGTTTTGTAATTGGCTGTTCAACACGATACTATTATTCAACTCCTCTTTCTCAAAATTCTAGTGAACTTTTAAGCATTCAAATATTTCTGCATGATGAAAATCTCACATCTGGAACATTAAATTCTATTTGATATGAAAGGGTTATATTTTTAGGAGTGATTAATTTTTTGGGAAAGTCATTTATTTTCTATAAACTGAAGAAAAAAACTTGTAAGACAAGCTAACAACAGGCATCTAGATGCCTATGAGAGTGTAGAAGTGAGTAAATATAATAATATTATAAATAACGGTGATAGACCAATACCTAATAGTTTACTATATAGCTTGTTTGAATAATTATCAGATTCAGCTGATTATTACCTTATTGGGAATCACATGTTAAGAGGCGAGACCTCGTTAGTCCTTAGCTCGCACAAGTTCTCAACTTCTGAGAGTTGTCGTTCGTATGGGGGCGACAGTTGATTAACGGAAAAACAGATTTTGAACAGATTTTAAACAGATTACGTTGCATATCTATAACATAAACCAAACCTACATACAAAATTACAGCCTCAGAAAATATAGCGGTACGGAGAAATAGTGACGAAAAGGTAATTTTCATACGTCAACGCTTCCCATTTATTCCCAATGGGGGCGCTCCAGTTGGAATATTGAAAAATCTTTTCTCATTGCACATCTTCAACATAAAACTAACCTATGTACAAAATTTCAGCCTCCGAATAAATAGCGGTACGGAGAAAAAGTGATTAATAGGCAATTTTCATATGTAAACACACTTTTTTACCAAACACGGTGAGTGCCCCAGTTGGAGTGTTTGAAAATCCTTTCTCAGTACGCATCTAAGATCTAGGAAGCATCATCTCACTACATTTTAGTGTCTTAGGACTCACGAGTACGGAGAAACAGAGATAAATAAGTGAGTGTTAGTTAGTGACTTTCGCATTTATAAGTAGGTATATATTTCATAGAAAATATCTCAATACCATGAATTTTGTCCGACTTTGATGTTTTTCTCGTTCAGAATTTAAGAAGGGTGTGGGACTATTTACGTCCGCACTGTATATTTCATTTATCCCTGAAAAAGTAATTCAAGTAAAACAGTGAACAGTGAACTGACTTGTCAAAAGATTTTGGATGATTTATTTCATTAGACTATTAGCAACAATGAAGAAATAGTGAATTTGTAAATATAGTCAACGTAATAATTCTATTGGGAGAGACGAATATAAAACGTAAAGGCTTTAATAGTGAGAGTGATAGGGGATCGAAATTGTTGAGTGCCTTGAGGACCTCCTACTGGAGATTGATTCATGTTGTTCTTGATTTGCTAGTTGTTCGCGGTTGTTGAATGTTAAAATCAAAGCGAAAGCGATAATAAATTGTACGATAATTTGAGATAAAGTATTTCCACAATAGTATCAAAACAAGTTATCAAAAACTCAGTTTTACGGCTACCAGACGAAAAAACAAAATGGTATGATCGACTGAGATTTCGTTAAGAGTAAATTATAAACATTAATGGGTTATGAGATAACTTATATGTTTTCAAAAAGAGATAAGAAACCGTCTTCTATATTTATAAATGGGTTAACAGACGATATATTCATTCTCAATAATCGAAGCTAGACGTTGAACGTGAAATTATAGCAACTACTTGTGACTCGTCTGAAGATGTATCCCAATCTAGAAACGGTTCGTCGCAATAGTGATACTGACAGAATTTCAGATTCGAAACTTTCTTATTTAGAAAAAAACTGTAGTCAAATATTTATGAAGGGCCCGGCTTTAACTAAAGAAATTCTGGAGAAGGTGAACGCAGATTTAGTGCCCAAGAAGACTTATCTTCTTGGATACGAAATGAAAACGAAGACAGTTTTACGTGAGTAGTCCAAACATTATTTGATGAATTTCAAACAAGCAATATTTTTGTCATCAATTGAAAACATTTGATTATATTCATATCTTTTTACTATTCATAGTTCAGTTCTGAAGGAGAATAAAGGTTTTTGCAAACGCTTCACCAGTGCAAAAAGTAACATATTGGTTGATAATTCTCCATTTTAGAGTTCTAAAATCAGTAAAACAGGAAGGAGAACTTGATGATTGCAGTATTGAAAGTCAATGAGACATTGAAAATGACTTCAAAGATTTTTTTTACTATTATTGAGCTTCCATATACGATTGCAAAAAAAGTATTCTGATTCATCTATTTCTGATATGTCTAAAATAACGAGGCAAACATTTCACAACTATCCAAAAACTAGCGTCCATTTATAATTTATGCAACTCTTCGAAGTTATCTGATAATCAACACAGATTTGTCGATGAAAAATACTTAATATTGCAGAAACTTTTTGAGTCCACCTCACCTTATATGTAGAATATTAATTGATAAAAATAAGTTGATGTTTGATAATCTAGGATTTCTCACAAATCTATTATTATTATTCACGAAATAAATAATAGAAGCACTACAGGGTTCCATTTTGGGCGCGTTACTTTTCTCCTATCCATAGATGATTTAACTCCTGATTTTCAATGTTAAAGATTGATTCACGCAGATGATCTGAACATTCCTACCTTTTCAGACAGTATGTTGTTATAGCATGATGGCAACATTATTTTCACATGGTGTGTTTCAAATTTCCTTCAGTTGTATATTTCCAAATGTTATATTGCATTGATTCAAGTGTTATATGCAGGACTCAATTTCCGCTTCTGATAAAAGATTGGTTTTCATCATGCGAAACGATAAAGAATTTGCGACGTGTCAGTTTCATAAATCTGCATTATGTGGTAAATTAGAATATTACACGTAATATAAAACTCAAATGAGTCTGATATTTCATTCAATAGTTAGTGTGTAACATGTATTTTATTTATGTAAATAGCTACAGATTGTTTTCAATAAATCGTTACAACTCTTCAGCTATGAATTCGACTCTGATAAAAATTCTTCGGGGTACCTGGAACTTTCTATTTCGAAGAAACTTTATATTTTTATATTTTTTTAATCATTGCAGTATGATCGTACCTTAAAAACGCATTATGATTGGTGATGGATTTTTGTTATTAATTAAGCCGGATTATCCAACATTTGATGTGTGAAAAATATTAATTATCAATTTATTAGTTCATTTTCTTGTTTACACATTCAGTCAGAAACGGTAATTAATCCTCGAAAGTGATTGAGATAAAGGGGTAAATCACCCTTAATCACTTGAATTATCAATATTGTGATGAAGTTTCCTTTTTTGTTTAAAAAAAATCTGTTTAAAATTTGTTTCTCCGTTAACCAGCTGTCGCACATCTACGAACGATAACCCTCAGAAGTCGCAACTTGTGCGAGCTAAGAATTAACAGGGTATCACTTTATAACGTGTGATTCTTAACACGTATGTGTATGTACACATATCCATTACTCTTTCTCAACAATGGAATGAAATTCATTTAGCGTTTTTTAATCTCTTGCGCACTTCATAAACTTCATAAGTTTCTTATCGATAATGCAACTAAAAATATCTAGTTGATTCTTCAAATCCGAAGTTTGCGCTGGTCAGGTTCTATTACCCAAAGTCCCGATACATTCGGGAGAGCGCGCCAGCGTTATCAACCAACGACCACTCCTCGCACCGTGGAATAAGTGATTATTTGGTCTGAGAATGATGTGCCCTGAGTAGGCGCAGTGAGCCAAGAATGACAGCCTTCTGCATCTGTCCGGCTGAGATTTCTGCCTCAGTGCGGCAAACCTGTATGATTTTGGAATTCGAGAGTAGAGAAGGCATAATTGAACCAAGGACTACAATAATCAGACCAATCATTTCGACAGAGTGGTCTGCATAGAGTCTGCGGAGTCATCCGTTTTTTCTTCTTTTTTCGGAAGGTATTCGTCTCACCAAGAACTGAAAACTCCACGACAAATATCGTCTTGCTCTGGTGGTCGAGACGGACTACATCAGGCTCATTAGCTTGAATGAGCCAGAGGGTGGGGAACGAATAGTTCCAATAAATTCGGAAGTTCTCGTTTTTCACAACGGATTCAATATCCTCTAAAATATAGGGCAACACCGGTGTCTCATCAATACCGCAAGAAGGCCGTGGCTATTATCCGCGGCCTTAAGCACTCTTAAGGCCGTAAAGTAAATTAGTGTCTCGGACTCCTCGCGGCAGGCTCTGCACCTTGTGTCGGGAACCTTTATACCCATCATGTGACTGCGGTAGACTAAGGTGTTGAAGACACCATCCTGGCAAGCCATGAGGGGTTCCTCAGTTTCCAACTTCAGCCCATTCGACTTGAGGAAAGCGAAAGTCAGGTGCTTTGATAAGCTAAGGTCTCCAATGTTATTGAAGGGGGCCTCATGCATCGGCTTATCCTTGTCTTTCCGTAGAAGTGAGGTGATCTCTGCGACTTTACACGAGCTTTTTGCTTAATGGGTTCCAACTCGGTGACAGAGTTGTGGTCACCTCGTTCAGATTCGAAAACTAAACCGAGTTCATCAGCTGCTCGGGCAGCTGCCCTGAAGAGGAATGCTCCAATTTCTGCTCTCTCATGGTCACGGACCATGCAGAGAAGGGAATCCGAACTCCTGACGACTTTGCAGGCTATATCCAGTACCATTCTGTCACATAGACACTCCACAAATCCTTTCATTATTATCATTGGTATTATTGTTATTAGCACTATTTTCATTATTATTACTCATACATAGCTGAATATGGGTGTATCTATTATATGCCTCACAATTATTGATTTTTTTCTTCAAACAAAACTAGTAGATTAATGAAGATACTGGTTTCGCTAACCTCACTTTAAATTTCTAATTCACGTTTGAGGAATTCAAATAACTTAATTTGAACACATGTGATGAATCAAATTCAATAATTAGAATTCCTACTGATTAAATGACGTCAAAAGTCAAAAGTATCCAACTTTTAAATATGTTTACCGTGAAAGTAGTGTAAATTTTCAATTCAAACAAATGAAAATTGCCAGTTTATCTACAATATTATGCTCCATTTGTTTATAATTACCTTCATTCATTGAAACTATATCCGAATCATAACTATCTGATAAGATAATCATGAAACTCTTACAAAATATCAAAAGACAAACATATGAAGAGAGTGGCGTGACTTGAAAATGTCAAGAGTTTATCGTCGTCTGGATTTGCCTAAATATAACTGTTGAGATAACTGGCCTTCCATTTCGTGATTTCATTGAATTCACGTCACTACGAGTATTATCAATCTCAGAAGTTTGCAATTGAGTCACTTGCATTAAGGTCATTCAACTGATCAAATGAAGTAGATACGATGAAAATAATTTTCCGGCAGATCTACGCAATATGTCTTGTCGTAAGTTTCACAAATCAAGTGTCCATCATCAACAATTGTTGATACTCCTCAATTAGTGATTCCGAATTGTCGATTCCGACTTTTCCCGAAATAATTTTTTCATATAAAGCAATCACTATGAAAAATAACGTACGTACTATAACGTACAATTACAAAAATGTTGGTGTAGATTCAATATTCATCAACAATTCAAAATATAATTTGATTAATATTGAAATTTTTGACTTGTGTCTTAATTTATTCTCTTGATTTTTTCTCAATTTTATAAATACATTGAATGAAAAACAATAAACTATGAACCTTACAGAAATCAAAAAAGTCTGAATACGAAAAAAATTGATATTTCCAGATTCCATTTCGAAATATTTTTTAGTACGTAGAGTGCATTTCTTTAATGTCCCCCCACCTTTTATTTTTTGAACGAATCAACTAAAAAATTTGAAATTTGGTATAATGAAATTAATGCATGAAACTTTCAAGATGGCGACTTCGCGCCATCTAGGAAAAAAAATTAAATGGAAAGGGGCTCTTGTGACACATCTTTTTGAAGCTCCTGATAAATGCTTCACAACCCTAGAATATAATGTCAATATCTTCAACTACTAAAAAATGGCGAAACTTTTAATAATTGTCTGAATTCATCGACATTTAACTTCATAATATCAGGAAATAAGCGTGAGGTCAGTTCAGAAGATGCTCGACATGGTTGCCTTGAACTTCTTGACATATGAACACGCCGAACATTTTCGAACACAATAAAGTCAATATCTCTAGAAATATTCATTATTCTCTGTGGTATACCCAATATTGAATTTTGCTTCAAATCCAAAGTCCAAAGTCCAAAAGTCCAAAGGTGTCAAATTTGGCTGAGAGGGTCAACAGTAGTTTCCAGCATATTTAAATACAGTTCCCCTGTTAAATTTTTAAAAATGTACATTCGTCACTTAAACAAATATTGTGGGGATAGGTAGGATGCCTTACAATGGTTTCCGTTATGATTTCGCAGAATTCTGTTCTTTGATCAGGGTCATCTTCAGTTAATTGGTGTACCATTTTAATTTTATATGGATGATACTTATTCTTCTTCAAAAGTCTCCACAGAGTAGATGGAGACACCTTACAAACATTCGTGACTGAATAAGTAGAATGTTCAGGATTTCCTACCATCTCACCAATCATTTGCACTTGCTGTTCTTCCGGAATGGACAGATGAACTGGAGGCTTTTTGTTATGTTCACTAGCGGTAGTTGTGAATTGACCATTTTAAAGATTGTTGACGTGATATCTTTCTAATAGTAAAACCGAAGACTAAATGAGAATATTCTAACTGAACAATGATGTTCATTGTCGTACTGACATTTCTTGTCGTTTTTATAAACAAAAAATAATTTAACAAACCTTGTCAACCTGGCTGGAATTGCCATATGGCAGATAAAAAGGAAATTATCAAATGTTTTGTAGTAGGTGAAGATATTGACTTCATATTCTAGAGTTGTGAAGTATTCGTCAAGAGCTTCAAAATGATGTATCACAAGACTCACCTTTCCATTTAATTATTTTCCCAGATGGCGCCCAGTCGCCGATTTGAAAGTTTCATCTGTCAATTTCATTTCAAAATAAAGTATTAATGCATTAATTTCATTATCTCAAATTTCAATTTTTCGAGTTGACCCGTTCAAAAAAGGGACGAGACATTGGAGAAATGCACTGTATGTATTTCTCCTCGATAGGGTCTTAGACACGGTTTGATCTCAGTTAGAGCTGTTAGAGTATTGGTACATTCTTCTCTGGTTAGGGTTTTGTTTACGAGATGGAGCTAGTACTAGTTAACAATCTTTCTCTTAGAAAAATATTTCATACATGCAAACAAGCCGCGTTGAAATCAATGGAGTCCCAAGCACACTGCTGTTATGGTAGGATCATTCCTGGACTGATGAGAGAAAATACCTCGAAACCGATCTGTAGGTGATCTACTCGACTGATTTATTTCAGCGTGGTCCTGGTACAGGATAAACGAGAAACATATGCAAGACTAGCCTCTGTGAGGAATCTTGCATAAATGTCTGCCGGATATAATTCAGTATCCAGCCGGACATTGAATTGGAAGCTTGGGGTGGAGTAACTAACAACTACCTGAAAAATCTCGAAACACTACAGAAATGTAATCCAAATGGAATGACGAGACAAATGTGCTATCATCAGCAAAGCAGTATATTGTATTCTTCGTTTTTTCCAATAAGTCGTTGATATACAATAAAAACAGGGTTGGAGACAATATGGATTCCTGGAAAACACCAGCGTTGATGGTGAAAGTTTGTTTCGAGAGATATTGATTTACGGGCATTTGCAGGGAATGTTCCTTCAGAAAGCTAGAGAGCCATACACAGACGGACCAGGACCAGACGGCGTTGTTTATATTGAGCTTTCAGAGATTACTTGAAAGCAGACTTTATAACTATTTGGAAAATAATAATTCCAAATATTTATTGAGATTTTTTCATTGATTTTCGATGTTTCATTGCAGAACAATTGATACCTCAACTTCTTCACGGTAGCAAAACGATTTAAGGTAGAACTCAACTTCTTTTCAATTCAAGATTTTATCGATTGTATCCTTTCCTGCTAGCGCAGTAATGTAGTTTAATTGAAAAGTAGCCTACAAAATGTCACCCTTGAAAAGAAGTTCAACGTGTTGAAAGCGGATAATGAAAAATAAGAACGTTTATCGATACCTTGATCTACTATTTGTAGTGATTGTGATCAACATGAAATACTCGAAATTAAAATAAAGCTCCCCAAAAAATAATTTAAGAACGCTAAGAAAATTTCAGATGTGATCAGTCTGATAAAAATTGTATTATTCACACCACATACTTCTTCTTAACTCGAATTTCAATTTGATTGGTAACAAAAATTCACACAAACTACAGTTGGCCGGTTCAAAATTCATCATGTCAAGGAGATAGTTTCTCCTATTCTGCGAAATAAATCGATTCGAAATAACCTAACTATGAATAAATAAAAAAATTGCATCGAAATGTTTTGACTACATGATATGTGGTGTATGGCGGATTGCGCCGAAAAACTTTTCCAGGGAAAGATAACTGTGAGAAACAGTGAATGACCCATAAACTTTGATATCTACATGGCGCCTACCGTAGGTCTCACTGTTGCTAATTGTGATTATTTATCAGTTGATGCTTGACTTTTTTAATGCACTTCAAGTAACCTTTATATTTTGCTTACTGCTGGTACTCCATATCATCTTATTTTAGTTTCTTTCAGTGATGTTTTTTGATCATATTGATGGGTTGATTGAAGAGTCAAAGAAATATGCCTTTCATCATTCAAAATTGATGAGACTTTTTCACTACGAACATATTCATATTTCATTCTTGAAGAACGAGGTTATTGTTTCAGCTCATGAAATGAGGACGAATTTCGGAAAGTATTTTTATGAAAAAAATGTATACTGATCTAATATCAGATCACATACCATGTCTTTTGGGAGTTGCAAATCCGATATTTTTGTGTCCATGGTGCATAAGCCTGGATGTTGTTAGACATAATATAAGTCGATATGCAATAATTCAGTTGTGGCGTTGATATAAGAATACATCTGAAATACTAATCCACGAACAAAAACACACAAAATACCAACTTTACCTATTCGCTAATATGTGCTGTAGTTAACGATTGCAGTCAGTTTATTCCTGTTTTTCTTATGTAATTCTGCATGGCGAATGCAAATGCAAATAAATTGTCAAACTCTTCAATTTCGTAATCAAATGAGACACTTATTTTTTCAGTTATCACTGGACTGTGTTTGCTGTTCTCCTTGAGCTGTTCTGCAACTTCAGTAATTTGGTTTACAGATGCATTCGATAACTATGTACTTTCGGTAAGTTGTCTTTCATTAAAATACATGATTTTACCAAAAAGTCAGATATACCCTGTTCATTTCAAATAAGTTATCAGATGAAGAATTTCTCATCATAATAATAATAATGATAATAATACTGTATTTTCCTTATAACATGCAGAACCATGTATAGAATTTGTCAAAAAAAGGAGATAATTGATTAAGAACTAAAAGTAAAACTCTTCTAGGGAGTGAAATCCATCTTTCAACAGGTACTTCCTGAGACATTGTTTGAATGAATTCAGTGTTTAACATGATTTAATTTCGGCCGGAAGTTTATTGTACAACCTTTGCTCAGTCATAAGGGGTGACCTACATAAATTATCGCTGTCTTGTATCAATAGTGTGAATTTGCTTATTAGTTTGGAAAGATTTTAAATTACGAAATACAAAAACACACACTTCAAATATATATAAATACGGCAAGGTAGATAAGTTTCAAAAAAATCATCACAACTGAAGGTACGAGAAACACCAGCGATACAACGTATCAAATTTTTCTGCAATATGAACACATCATTGAAACAAATAGATGATCCCCAGAAACATATTCTGTATTTTAGTCGGGACTCGACATGTGCATAAAATAACATCATCAGTTGTTTCTCCGTCAAAACTGATCTAATGTTTCTGAATAGATAGTTGACAACGTGAAGTTTTGGAATAACTGACTCACAGTGCTTCTTCTAGTCGATGTATAGACCCAGAAACTCTACACATCATACATTTTCCAAAACTTTTTCATTAATATTTATATAAATGGTGGGTACTTGTTTTCGCCTTTTATGGAAATGTATTGACTGAGTTTTTTCTGCTTTTAGATGCAATGAATTCATGCATTCATTCATCATAGTGAGAAAGAACTTCTTTACTTTTTTTTTCTAGAAAATAATTAGATTGTTCGGACACAATTATAGACGTATCGTCCGCATACAATGTGAAATGTATGTATGGGTTTGCTCTATGTCATTCACATATATTAGGAACAATATTGGGCCCATTACTTACTGTTGAGGAACACCTACACTAATGTCAAGATAATCCGAATTACAAATGGTTGCTGTTTTCTCAATTATCCCTGGTGTAAGAAGATTGGTACCAATTTCAAATAATTTAGTTATTAGGGTTGTATGGTTGACGCAGTCGAAAGCCCTACTTACATCACAGAATATCCTAACAGGGTACTAACCCGCATAAACCAAGTTGGTCAAATTTTCATAAAAGGAGTGGACAGCACTGCTTGTGCTGATTTAGCTTAAAGTGAGAATTCAACCTCTCTGATTAGGCATATTCAAATCTTTTTGAAAATATGTAAGTAATAGTTATGGAACGATAATTACTAATCAGTTGTGAATCACTTTTTTCATAATCGGAACGATCCTGCCAGTCTTTAGGTAATCTGGAAAATCATGAGAGGTTGACAAGATAGGTCAAAGGAGATATATCAAAGTCAACAGATCTCTTATTTTTCAATTCATTTTGTAGTAGTTCAGATAATTACAGTTGCGTAAACGAGTATAATGATATAATGAAAACATTGTTTAAAGAGAATTTTCAGAATTATCAACAAAATTCGCAGAAAAACCATCCGGTATAATCCTAATTATATCAAGTGGGACATTTAAAAAAATATAAATTGAAAGAATTAGCAACCGCTACGGGATTCTGTATAATAAAAACTGTATCGCACACTATGAATTAACGATATGATCGCAACAATATTCAATGGAAATGTGTGGAAAAATTCAATTGACAGATCTAATCAGTCTAAAAGTTCACTTTTAAATTGGACATTTTGTACTGAGATTTGTTTTTTTTTTCATGTCAATATGATTCACTATATGACTGCTCTAGACTCTAATCAACAGGTATCATTTTATGAAACATAATTTGCTGGAGAGGCTCATTTCATGATTGAATTGTAGTGGACTGTATTTTTCGTTAAACGTTTATATGTTAGTAATGAGCAATCGTTAAAAAATCTTATGATGTTCAATTCAAGCTTATTTTATTCATTCGACGTCGGAATTGGAAAAAAAATGTTTTTCAACATCTTCGAAGCTGGACCGGGTTATTACCTTTTTTCGATATAAATTTCTTCATAAGAAAGGTCTCCTAATCACTACCAATTGAGATTTTGATCTGGAATGAATGCAGAACTATGATACAAAAGATAAGAGCAAAGTCATAAACATATTTTTTTCTATTTGGCCTCTGGCCTACTGGAGAAACTACTAGAAAAATCGCCTCTATAGTACTTCCCATCTACAAACATACGATGTATATATTATGATTATTGTATTGAAAAATCCGAAGAAGGCAAAGGCCATAAATTTGTTTCTCTACTGTATAATGAGGAATGATGATAATTTAGAATGATTGTACATGTACCTTTCATAAACAATGGAAACAAAAATTGTATTGCCCTAAAATGGCTCCATAAAAGTCCAAACTTTGAAAATGAAATCAATAACGGTTTCATTCCAATAAATTTGGTAATGTCATGAATCAATATTAAGTTTGCACACAGTCGTGAAATAGTATATTGTGCAACTAGTGCGGAAAATAGGATATTCCATACGAGTTTGGTAAGATTATGATCATCTCGTCAAACGAGTATGGAATATCCAATTTCCGCACGAGTTGTACACTATACTTTTTCGATGACCTACATGAAAAATATAGATATGTCGGATTTTAATTTCGCATGACTGTATTACACGTAGTTACCAATCATTTTTACAGGAAACCAATTCAATTGCCTGTAGAAGTATATAAGAAAGTTGTATCACACAAAGAGAACAAATTTTATTGAACATTTAACAAAAAGATGTGGGTACATTTTGGTCTGTATTTATGAAATATCAGAAAAATGATTATGGATGGTAATATTTGAACAATTATTCAGTACTAACGGAATATCATTATTTTCTTTCATCAAACTCTGAATGGCATGATTATTAATTCCTGTTATATTATTATTAGTTTCCACAACTGTAGTGGAGGTTGATGGTCTTGCAGTACGGACTGATTGTGCAGACTGTAGTTCCGTAAAGTTCTGTTGAGAAGGTTGTTACATAACAACATGTTCAATAGACTGGGTTATTTGATTGGATATTTCAATATTTTTATTGATTGATTCATCAATATAACCCTCTGCGACTGTGCTTCTTTTCCAGCCGCCATGCCTTTTCAGAGTCAATAAATCCCTAATATTATGGATGAAGAACGCCTAAATGAATGACTCGTGTAGATTTCTGGGTTTTGTAATTTCAAGAAGGTAGCGTGGGCATTCCACCAAACTTAATTCCCACAAACTGGAAGGTACATTTGCCTTTCTGGTAATTAATGAAAAATCTGATATTTTTATCGACCATATTGTTTCTCAAAAAACAATGATTTCTTGATACAAAATTTGAGAACTGAATAAGTAAAATTTCCAATGTTTATGTTATGTTTAGCTGTCAAGGATGTTCGTAACAAATATATTGACCAGACAGTACTTGGCCTGTATTTATTTCCTAATTATCCTATGTGAGCCAATATACGTCGGAGATGCTTTTTGTGCTACTTCTTTTTTCTCATGCCATAAAATTATCGTACACCAAATCAAACTTCTGTTTCGAGTTTTCTGGCAGCAATTCCTTTGTTGTTTCGTTTGCTGAATTGCATACTCCTGGGGGAGTAAAATGTACCCTTTTATCATCGGATGACATTGTACTAACGAAATCTGAACAAATTATACGATTCGGTACCTATCTACTTAGTAAATCACATTGACACTATAATGTTATGAATTCGTTTGTAAATATGTTATTGTCACAGGTACCTATGAGTAAAAATCAGAGTATAATAATGATAATAATAAGTTAATTGCCCATCAAAATACAAGATAATAACAAAAAACAAAATGCAAGAGAAAAAGAAAACACTTTGTATTTGATTGCAAATGGCTTTTGGTTCAGACCGCGAATTTGCATTCGCGTCTGCTCTTCCAACAATGCCGAAAATTTATAAAAGTAAATAAATGAAGGCTTGAAGAGAAGAAAAAAAAAGGAAGGAGAAGAGAAGGTAATATAAAGATATAGATATATAAAACGCTGAAACCTTTTTCAGCATTCTCGCAGCGGACCTAGTTATTGTGAATCCTGAACAGATGCTGTTCAAACCTACTTTCAAAAACAGTTTCTGACATGTTACAACAATTGTTTTCCCATTTATGGAGATAATTTATTGTGGAGGAGATATTATAGGAAAAAGATCGTTTGAATATTTCCTTTTTATGAACAGGAATGTTTAGCACTGTCTTTTTACGCAAATTCAGGTTATTGATATCTTTTCTTTAAGACAAATGTTCATATAAGTAGGGAGGATTCCTATATTTGAATATTTTATAGAATATGCATGTTGCATGAAACGTCTACGATCAAACATATTCAACCACTTCAAATCTGCTAATTTGTGTGAAATTCTAGACCTTCTTCTGATACCAAATATTAATCTGATACAAGAGTTTTGAACTTTTTGTATACGACACCTGTCGTTCTTGTCTAAACATGAATGATAAACAGTGTCACAGTGGTTGAAATGAGATAGAACTAATGAATCACATAGCATTTTCTTGACATCTACATCCAAATATTGTCTATAGGGATATATGAGTTTCAATGATGGATAAGCAATTTTAAGTTTGTAGGTTATATGTTGTGATATTTAGAAGACTTCATCTTATTGATGAATGTGGCAGTATAGAGGGTATAGCACAGTGGGCCTAAAATGCTGCCTTGGGAAACTCCTGTTTTAACTTCTCTCCAAGTAGAAAAAATATCATGAATCTGTACTTTTTGTGATCTATTATCTAGATCAAGATGATATCAACATCACTGATGCATCACTGAACCCAAAAAAATGTAACATAGCACAAAGTATTTTATGATTGATGGTATCAAATGCTTCTGAATAATAAAACAGAATCAAAGGGTTGGCTTCATTTTTATCTATAGCTTCGATTATGTCATCTACGATCTCTAATAATGCTGTTGCACAACTATACCCTTTTCTAAAACCTGTCTGTTTATATGGCAAAATATTGTAAAGATTAATGAAATGGCGCATTTGATTTTCCATTACTTTCTCTATAATTTTGGAACATGTCGGGAGAATACTTATTGACCTTGAATCATTAAAATTTTGTGGTTGATTATTTTTTGGTAGGAGTATAATTTTTGCATATTTCCATGCATCAGGAAAATAACTCTGACTTATGCATTCGTTTATTATGTGAGTCAGTACCGTTATAATGAAAGGACAACAAATTTTTGTGATACTTATATTGATTTCATTACCCCATATACTTCTAATTTTATGATACTTATGATGCCGAAGATTTCATCTTCAGTAGTTGGTGAAAAACTGAATTGATCACATATACCTTCCTTTCTGTTCGTGTCATAAAAGCACAGTCAGTCTTTATCCGGTGGGATATCTCTTTGAGACATAGTTGAAATAAAATCGCTAATAGCTTCTACATTTTTCTAGTTTTCAGGGAGTTCTTTATTTTTACTTCTCGCAACTTTTAATTTCTTAAGTTCCTGCCATCTACCCTTACTATCAGTATTAAGTAGTTTGTAGTTTAAGTTTGCCCTTTTCTCGTAATGTATAGCTGTATTGATGTAATTTCGCAGTTGTTCATAGTAATCCCAATGGTGTGCTAGTTTTGACTTCTTGAATCGAGTTAATGCTTTGTCTCTCAATTTCTGCATCAGTCTTATATTCTCAATGATCCAAGAAGTGTAATTTTGTTTCTTCAAAAAGATATTCGTAATGAAATCATTCATGGGATTTAATTTAACATCTACATCTACAGTTTCATATGGTAAATGCCAAGGTTGGTTTATTAAATCATCACTGAATCTGTCAATATCAATTTGACTAATGTTTCTATTCTATAAGTTATCTTTTGGTTTTTTACCTTGGATTCAATTTCAAAGGAAAATTGAGCCTCTGTCAATGCATGATCTGAAAGATCATTGTGTATAACACTAATTTTATAAACTTTATCAATATTTGTAATTATCAAGTCTAGCAGTGAAGAAGATGTTCTCGTAATTTTTGTCGGTACCGAAACAACCTGCCTGAAATTGAATATTTCTAATACCGTCTGAAACCTCTCTGAGTTATTTGAACTGGGATCTAACATATTGATATTGAAATCACCTAAACATATTATATCACTGTAATTTGAATATATTTTCGTGAATATTTCTTCAATTTCGTCTAAAAATAATGTTAAGTTCGAATTAGGTGGCCTATAAACTGTACCGATAGCTATAAAGTTATTCCAACCCACGTTTAGTTTTATCCAAATACATTCCAGCTATTCACTGCATTGACTCAAAATAATTTCATATTTGAAAGTATTTCCCAGAAAAATACCTACCCCTGCGCCTCTGGATAACCTATCTTTGCGTAAAAATATATAAGGAGCAGAACTTACACTACTGATGTCAATACCTGCATGCATCCATATTTCTGTTACTCCCACAATATCATAGTCCCCAGCGAGAATCTGATTTATGAAATTAATTAAATTTTGATGGTAGGGATCTGACATTCATATGACATATATTCAACATGACCTGAAAGAATGGTAATTAAGTAATTTGTAAAGAGAAGGAAAAGAAAGAAAGGTTAGAGAAAAATGAGACAAAAATGCAGAGTGAAGTTTAAATAAATAGTGAACTGAGTAGCCCTGTAACACCTGTCAACAAGCAATAGAAATTAAGTCATGTAGCAAATCTGCCTCTTAAAATTTCTACAAAAATTGGGTTACATTTTTGACAGGAGAAAAAAACATAATTCTATTGAAATCATGAAGTGTAGCAAATAATTCATCAATGAATATAATGTTAAGCTTGAGGAGGCTATGAAAAAGAAAATAAATATTACTGAAAATTACATAATACTTAATAACATAATAACTTTAACATGAACACCAAAATAGGCTAATGAAATGCAGTAATACATTAAAAGCATAATTCTGAGCTTGAGAATGCTATAAAATAAGAAGATGAATATTACTGAAAATTACATAATAATAAGCATAAGTTAAACCTAAATTTAGTTAATCAGTTATAGTTAAGTATATTAAGTAATCGAACCAATCGTAGAGCGAGGAGACCGTGCACAATATTCATTTCGTACTAGTGCGAAATATCTAATTTTGTGTACTACTTGATAGTGCGAAATGATACGTATTTCAAGTAGGTCGTCGGAAAAGTATATTAATCAAACAATTCAATTCAAAAAACAAAATTTTCGCGAAGGTATACATAATAAGTATTTGTTGTTCAACTGAGAAAATTATTTCTACACATCCGTAACCTTGTTGTAGAAAATTATGTAATTCATATAAATATAAAGTATTGGTAATTATTATACCGAAGACGAGGTGTGAATCTAGGTCCTGATCAAACTGCGATTTGTTTCTTTCATTGTGACATTGTGAATTTTCTTTCAGCAACTGGTATTGACAAATAACGAAGATTCGTTCAAGATGTGGAAAAATCCGACTCCGAAGGTCACATACAAATTGTATATTTTCAACTATACGAATGTTCAGGATTATAAGGACGGTTTGGCTGAGAAGTTACACGTTGACGATGTCGGACCCTACACCTACGAGTAAGTAAATCTTGATGAACCATCAAATTAATTGTGAATCGATCGAGACAATCATTTGTTACTTCTTTTATTTCAACATTTTTTTTATTCTGTAGAGAAAAATTGGATCGCGAAAATGTGAATATCATCGACGACGAGAGGATAACTTTCCAAGAAAGAAGAACTTACAGCTTCAGACCTGACCTATCAGCTGGATCACAAAATGATCAAGTGACTGTTCCAAATATACCACTCATCGTAAGTCGTTTATTTTACTTTTTCAATAGTTTTCCCATAGCTTTCGATAAACTTATTCATTATCAGACATCATTATCGAACTCTCAAAATTTGTATTCTTCGAAGTTCTGATTTTAATATTGCTGATTTGAAAAATATTATAATTTCCATAATTGTCTCGGTCTGAACATGAACAGCTATATGAAGATTAAGATCGTCATTTCTGATATTCATAACTGAATATTTCATAACTTCCTTGATATACGATGAAATATGTGCTATTTCAGATGATATGTGATTTTCAATACAACCTAAATTGAACTGTTATTATAACGATTAAAATCAAGAAATTCATTTAAGATCACTGCAATTATACTGTTATTATTTCAATTCAAAGCAAGAACTCCATTTAGGATCACTGCAAAAAATATTTGACGTGAATTTTTGAAAGAAATATTGCGAAAGATGGTTAAAAAAGTTGTTGCCGCTTTGGTGGCCTGAGTAAGCCGTCGATATACAATTCAATTCAAAATTTGCTTGAAATTATCACACAATCTCAGGCAAGTAATATTTTATCTCACCAGTAGATATCATACACGAAGAAAATGTAATTATTTAATGACTACATCTTTCATATCGCAATCATTCATATCTAATGCAGAGTATCAAATTGACGAATACATTAATTTATTATTATACCAAATTACTCCTGAATTTTAAAAAATATCATCAATAGTTCACCATCGATATAATGTACCTATAACATTAAACATAATTATCACGCAAAGCATCTCAGTATGTACATTTGAAATTGAATTTCTAGAAGATACAAATGAAGAAATCGTTTGAAATCCATTTATATCAACAACCGAATCTGTCTACAACTAGATCTCATTATTTCAGAGTGGTTCAGCCGTAGTGAAACATAACAACTTTTTTACACGCTTGGCATACGACGCAACGTTGAGAGGGTTAGACCTCCAAGCTTTCGTTACATTACCTGCTCACGACTTCATCACAGGTTATTATGACCGTCTTTATGCGGCTTCAAGAGTACTTTCCAGCTTCGACGACGTGCAACCTCCGGAAACGTTTGCTTTGTTAGCTTCGGTGAGTACTGCTCCAGTTGTGCTCTTCTCATTTTTGACAGTAATACTTATCGGGGAATACATTATTCCAGAGTTATCTATCCAACAACTGTTAAAAATGATTGCTATCAAACTTCAATCAATTGTAATTGGTTGGGAAATATCAACTTTGAAAAATTATCTCCAATTCAATGCCATTTCAATGTAAATAACCCACATGTATGAAATTTTGAGCCATACTGTTTTAGCCAAGAAAATAATCCAGGCACACTTTATATTTTTGACCTTCTCAAAAAACGACGTATTTTTAGAATCATACTTCTTTATTATATAATTAACTCAAATGAGGAATCCTTCTTCTGTTGAAGTTATTGCAAATCTGATTTTTTGCTACCACTGACACTCCTCCTATTTCGATTCCTTACCAATTATATTTCCCCATAGCTATTCAGGACTCATATACACTAGATCCCTCTCTACCACACTATTCTACTATTTGATTTCCTGTGATTCCTTAGTGCTTTGGTACACAATATAGAGTCAATCCATTCCTGTCCTCCAGTTATTAGACTTCTTCATGGCATTCTCAGGCCAGTCTCGATGTCACTGTTGAATTCATCAATGACCTAAGTGAAGTCTGATACCTATAAGATGTAACAAATTGATTTTCCCTACACATTGCAGATATTCATATAGATACATTCGCCTGGAAAACGGATTCATATCGACAAAGCGATAAAAATCCGATCTCCTCAACTTATTGTTCTCCCTTCTGGATTCACGCGTGAGTCAGTAACATGTTTCGCGAACAAAATTGCTGTTACCACGAAGGGCGTTGAATTATATCCTACATCTATGGACCTATTGCTTATGGACTTTCAGCTCTCGTTAGGTTAGAAGATCTCATTTTTGAATTGCCAACCAATTCTAGATACCTACGAATTGAGAGCGGCAATGATGCAAAGTTTTGCTTCTGTCACTTCTATTTAACTAATTGATTTGGCAAAAAACGTTAAGAAAAGGTGTCGTCTGTGTGTAGGAGAAGATGATAGACATTTCAAACATATTCTCTGAAGAAATATATTTCATTGTTTGTTCTTTATTATCGTTATTATCATTGTTGAAATTTCACTTATTAGTAGTGGATATAGTATTAATTGTTATCAGTTTTATTGAAAATATACATTTTAATTAGTACTGTGAAAAGCTTTCTCTACTGAACAATTTCTTTCTATTTTATCGCCTCGTCGTTCAAAGCCTATTTGATCAAAGTGTGCGTTTCAAAGTAAACATGAAAGAACATAAACGCTCTGTATTTCAAACATCAAGCCAAACATCAAGTGTGCTACTTTTTCCAATATTTAGTCACATGTACTTTCCAGGAACACAAAGTTAAATGTGGAAAACGTGTTCTTCTTTTTAAAAACCTTTCTTTCCGAAATATAATCTGTCACACTGAAGAATTTTCGATTTTCTCAATTATCTTTCAATCATGGTTACTTCATGATGTATGGCCAACAGAATGATTATGAATATTTTTTTTCTCTATAAGTTTTCCACCCTTTATATTTCAATAGAGAAGATGAAATCCAAATAAATATTTTCACAATGATGGATGTCTTCCGAAGGTGCTTCCTTCTCAATGATTTAAGAAATGATGTTGTTATTTTGTAATATTTCCTAACTAATAATCAAATGTTGAAAAACCAGTGATTATCGTCTATAGAATTTTGAAATACTTCAAATGCGAGGTTAGTTCAGAGTAATTTTTGATATATCGATGTATATTGTATATATTTATGAGCGTGCTACGTTCTCTATGATCCAAAGTCATCAGCATATTTTTTTTATAGAAAATCGGTTTGAACCCTAGAGTGATAACAATGAATACAGGAATATATGATTACAATAAAATTGGACAATTTGAAAAAATCAACGGACAAGATATTTTGAGTTATTTCGAGACAGATGAATGTAACAGGTGAGTACAGTTGTTTTATTTTCATTCACTTCGAAATTAGTACATTAGTGGCAAAACTAATAGGAGTAGGTGTTTTTTTGTGTGATAAGATAGACAGATGGACGCCGCGGGGGGTTTTGTTTCATAACATATCAAGATAATCTTTAGATGCTTATATAATTGTTACAGTAAATGTAAACTACACGTTTATAAAAAATGATCAATTCATCAAAAACGGAAAAAAAATTTGATTCATTAAAAAAATGCCAAAAGCCTTCTAATAAAAACAAATCGACTCACTTTCACTACAATGATTATACAATACATACACAATGATTATTGTGTATGTATTGTATATTTTTTGTATAGATTATACCTATAGTCGAGGTGTAATACAGATTTTTTAAAAAAACATTTGACTCGAAGTCCACTTTCATGAAGGAAGCGGAAAACACAATGAAGCTTAGGTGCCAGTTGGGTGGGTGTTCGCCAAGATTTTAATAAAGTCAAATAACCAGCCAAGAATTGAACTTAGGATCAGTCGTACCAGCCTACCACCATATCACTGCAAACTTAATTCCTTTGAGTTAATTTGGGCTGATATAAAAAGTTTTTGTCACGGAGCATAATACTACATTTGAATTTGCTGTCAGAAAAATGGAAAAATGCATTGATCACGTGCAGCAAAAAGTGTAGCAAAAACTGTGGAAATTCGGCGATATTATAGAGTAACAAATTGAATAATTTTTAATGAATATGAATGATGGTGACACGTCTTCTGACGAACTAGAATGGCAACAGTAGATAAAATAATCTCTACTTACTATAAATATTTGTATTTCTTTCACTTTGAAGATTAAAATGCTATTTTCTTATTTATTTTCAAAGTATAAATTTCCATTTTCCAACCCATAACGATAAACACATTTACATGTAATAGAAACTTCATAACCATTCAGAGACAATGTACAACCGCATTTTCAACTTTTATCATGTCCTTTTGCGTCACCTTGTATATTATTTCCAATATATTTTTCCCAATTTCCGTTGGTATTGAAGTATTGCAAACTTATATTTATGAAATTTTCAATTAATACATTGAAAGAAACTACTTTGCGATATTTTGTCCTCATTAGGGCCCTGGTAAAAAGTTACATTCATGTTTTTTTGTGTACAGTTACTGAACCAAGGATTGAAATATAGTTCATATCGTTGAATGTGGGCCAAATGAAAAAATTGAACTCTTTTACAGTTGTACATAATTCAAACATCAGAAAAAGGATTGAAAATGGAATATTCCATTCGGTCATTTGGCAAACACGAAATCCTCACAAATTAGATCAATTTTACAAAAAACATCTAAAACAATCTCAACTTTGACAATAACATTTCCTTTTCTACCTTCGTATTCATATTGATACAGAGATTCGTTCAAAATTCAATAGGAGAATATTTTTTTCGTACAGACGTTTGTAATGCTGAAATGCTTATTGCAGAGGTTCCCAAATTTTTTTTTATCATAGACCACTTTAAAAATGTTGCTGTTTCCGTTAGACTCCCTGCAGCTACGTTTCTACAACATTTCCAGAAGTCAACAAAAATTGTGAAGACTAGATCTAACTATGGAAATTCGCGGCTACGTTCCAATCACAAATCAACAGTTTTCGAATAAAAAGTAATAATTGATCGGTAAATTCATGAATTGATTGTGATGTGAGTGGATATCTAAAAAAATTAAGTTGATCAATCATCTACTCGCGGAACAAGAAATCAAGAAATCAGTTAATTATCACTCATTTTATTTAGAAAAATCCCCATTCAGTGTGGTGAAAATAAGAAGAAAAATGGTATATTTACTCTTGTTATTCATACAAATACATAATTATCACACTATTACTCAGTCGCGATGTAATTAAAATTTAACATCAATAACGTAATTTCTATACTACAATGCCAATCACAAAATAGTCATAATTTCATTGCAAGGAATGTACTTGGTCTGTGATATTCCATCTACAAGTTTTTACATGTAACAGTCGCTGAGCTTCTTGAAATATTATCTGCCTACATTGACAGGTGAAGTCAAACCCACATTTTGATTCTTCACTATTGAAATCAGATAAATTTTCGTGGACCCCCGCTTACGAATTGTGAACCCCCATTTTTTGGTCACGCCAACGTAGACCCTCATCGATCCCTGGGGGTCCATCTAGACCACTTTGGGAAACACCGGCTTACCGGGTGATTCTCTGTAATGGCTCACCCCTGTAACTTTTTTATCATTGAAGATACAGAAACGAAATTTGGGTGTTGCGTAATATAGTTCCATTTACATTTTTTGACATATTTACTTGCTTTGCCGTACTTCCAGTTTGACCGGAAATGACCCCAACTTTCGATTTTTAAATGGGACATCCTATATGTTCTTACTAATTTCCATCGAGAACCACATTCTGAATCCAAGAATATTTCACTTGTCAATATTTGACAAGTGAAGTCATCATTTTTATTTCAATTTTTATTTTTTGATCTAGAATGCCATGGATCATATAAATCGCTTCATTCTTGATCAAGTAACATGGGAAAACTACGACTTTGAGGCTTATGACTTCACAGTCGCTTTAAACATTATTTCACAGTCGCAAATATGACTGTTTCATGATAACTTAATTTTTTCAAATGAAACGGGGGTGGCTCGTCGGCTTTTTGTGAAAGATCATTTTCGTACGAATAATTTGATGCTGTCCCTGTCACTTTATTCCCTCCATTTTTCTGAATATTTGCAAGAAAGTCGCAAATTACTCCATTAAGGTTATACATTTCCAAAGTGGTCTCCTCCTTGATCACGGCAAAGTTCAACTTTTCAAATTGTTGCGCGCATCACTTTGATTAGCTGTTCCTCAGTGACGTTCTGGAATGCCACCCTTACCTTATGCTCTAGTTCCTCACGAGTAGAAATAATATATTTATGTAAAAATATGACAACTCAAGAATGTACCTCGCAGACCACTGAATAGGTCCATAAGTGTCAATCCACTTTTCTGGGAAGGTGTTATTCAGATGTCCTCTTACGACTTGAGAAAATAGATATCAACTTAGTTAGCCAATGGGAAATCTTCAATGAAATCATTAATTTGATTTCTAGGGAACTGTAGATATCTTTCCACAGTCAGTTGTCCGTCGAAAATTATTCCGAATGTTTCTCTCCGATTATACCCATCCAGCACTTGAAACCAAAATCCCTCTTGAAAATTTCCTTCTTGCATCAGATGTAATTTTTTTTGAGACCAGTACCTTTTATTATTCCTATTGAACATACCCAAGTTGGTGAATCGGGTTTTATCTGAATAAATAATTGTAAATGGAAAACGTACATCTTCTCTGTAGTGATTCAAAAACCAGTTGCAAGAAGTCAATCTTTGGTTGTGATCGTTATCGTAAAGATGTTGGTGTAGTTAGTATTTGAATGATCAATAATTGTATTTGTGAAGAATTCTCCAAACGGACGAATTACTTATATCACACTCAGAAACAATTTGGCTAATTGACGCCGTACAATTTACTTCAACATAGGCCAACACGTCTACTTCTTTTTCTTCATTGACGATGAAGTTATTGGCATTTTCTTCTGTTTCATTTCACATTTTTCTTTCCAGTTTTGGAAAATAATGCCGAGTAGGATGGCGACGACTAGGGAACCTCTGAGCATAACTTCGAGCTGCATCAATTGCACTTTTTTTTTTTTGTTTCTCCGTAAATTAGCAACATGTCAATTTTATCGTTTCTAGTATTATTTTTCATATCTAATTATGAACTGCACAACATATAATTTATTGCATAAGTATACTGAATACGTGTTATTAGATATTGTCGTTTCTTGCAATTATTCAGAAAAATGAAGAAAATAAAGTGAAAGTGTATATCCAAATTATTTGTGAGAAAAGGATCTTTCACAAAAAGCCGACGAGCCACCCCCTTTACATTTGAAAAAATCAAATCAACTGAAAAATTCATGTATGCGATTGTGAAATAATTTTTGAAACGACTGTGAAGTCATAAGCCTAAAAGTCGTAGGTTTCCCATGTTAATTTATCAAGAATGAAGCGATTTACACGATCCATTAAATTCTAGATCAATAAATGATTTCATTTGTGTTGTTGGATTTAGAAGTCATTCTCGATCAAAATGTGTAAAAATATATAGAATGTCCTATTTAAAAATCGAAAGTTGGGTCATTTCCGGTCAAACCGGAAGTAAGGCAAAGCAAGTAAATATGTCAAAAAATGAAAATGGAACTATAATACACAACCCCAAAATTTCGTTTTTCGATCTCCAATAATAAAAAAAGTTATAGGGGTGAGCCACCTTAGAGAATCACCCGGTATATTCCAATGTGGAAATAATGAAGACGGGTATTATTATTTTATTTGTGAAACACATCTCTTACCTTATTTGTGATCGGTATTGTTTCTAGTAATTATATTTCAATATCTTGTACTATCCAAACATCTCTGTATTCAACAAGCATTTCCTCACCAGCTTGCAAAGTGGGGATGGAGCCATGTACCCGCCGCCTCAAGTTCAACAGAAGAAAAACATTTACTTCATGTTTCCCGAACTATGCCGAAGAATGCCTTTAGTTTTTGAAAATGAAACCACCATTTTTAACGGAAAAGTACCAGCGTATCGTTATGTCTTACCAGAAGATATCTTCGATTCACCAGAAGAAAAACCCGAGAATCAGTGCTATTGTAACTCAAACAAGAAATGTTTAAAGGGAATTTTCAACACGACCGCTTGCAATTTTAGTGAGTACCATTAAGTTTTTCATAAAATTTTTCTTTCGAAAACATTTAGATTATTTATTAGAAGAAACAGAAGAATATCCCATATATTGATATAATGTAACTATCAAACATTAACAAAAATGTAACTTTTGCCATATCACTTTTACTTTTCAACACTCATAATATTCGTGAAATCTCTGACACACTGAAATAGACATGCAGCGCATGATGCATCTTTAAAGTAGTACACAAAGTTGAAAACTTTGCCAATCACACCGTTATGAAACATGAATTGAAACATTTTTAATGCTTCCACTTTTGAGAAAGGAAGGTTTCCGCTTTCTACTTTTCCATCTTTATATAAAAAAATATGGGAATCTTCCAAAGGAAAGAGGAAAGCAATAAATTTCAGAATGAACTCTTCACGAAAATGTGTAGATCATGCATGGAATTTAATTTTAGATGTGAACTGAAAGAAAAAGCTTTTCTCAAAACAGCTACTTTCATAAAAACATTGAATTTAAATGTGCGATTGGCTCCTGTTGGTGACACTTTGCATATGTGATATTTTTCATTTTTGGTAACCAGTTGTTGTCCACCTTTACAATTGGCTGCTGATGAGGCCAATAGCCAGAAACACGTGTCCACGGATTGCCCCCATTTTTGGAGTGTTCTGTCCACCAATTCCCCCTTTTTGATTTATATCATACACACTCGATAACATCTATCTATAGTTTTCCTTTATTTTCAGAGTTTCAATATTAACGTTTGTTCACAAAAAGGATTTGAAAGTTTAATAACTTCAAATTATCATATGCGAGTGCTTTCGATAGCAGACTTTGCTATCATCTTCATGGCTCTATTCAAACTGACCGTTTTATCTTCTTGTTTGTTCTTTTATACGGTTAGAACGCCTTAATGCAGGTATTTGTCCTCTACTTCCATCCAGAAAACATCAAACTCATAAATGTTTATATATAGACGTTAACTGTATTAGTTGGAAAGATCCAAATCCGGGCTGGTATCTGAAGAAAGATAAATGGAAGGAGTGGCAAGAAATACTAAGGCTGCAATATTCGAAAGCAGTGATGGGTTTACGCCTAGACCCGTGAGGCCCGGGCCTAGTGCAGCATAATTTGAGGGGCGACAAAAATTTTGAAATACCAACATTTTGGAGATGAAAATAATAAAGATAGTCTCCTTTGAAAATGAGTTCAAATTGATTGATGGAAAGCATTACAACAATTTCAATTTCTTCGAAAATTTATCTGAAATAGATACAAACGAATTGGAAAATCTGGCCAATAAATTTGTCAATAAGTATCCTGACGATTTAGAGGAGACATTTTAGGGAACGAATGTATTGATTTACATTGTCAACTCAAAGATTCTTCAGCAAATACGGAAGATGTACTTTCTGCACGAAATATATGCAATCTGTAACATTCAAGGAGTCCTCGAGATGTTTACCCAAATGTGGAGTGTTTTGGCTACAAATTGTTCCAAAGAAAGATCTTTCCCTACTTTGAAAAGAGTAAAAACCTATTAACGTTCGCAGGTATGGGTCAAGATAGACTTAATGCTCTGGCATTACTATCGATTGAAGCTCAACAAGTTCAAGAAATTGATCATTATGACGTAATTGATATTTTTGCGCGAACCACAGCCAGGAAAAAATAAATTTTTGAATTGAATAATATAAAAATATATTCATTTATGTGTCTAATCTTTATGTATCTGTAATGTTTATTAGTTATAATTGAAATTTATATTCTAACGAAATGAAGTTTTCTCGAATTTGAAATGATGATATTACATTAAAGGTGACGCGATAAACAAGGGCTAGGATGGCATCAAGCCTAAACCCGCCAGTGTTCGAAAGAATAAGTCAAAGAACGATAAGTAAAGTAAAATAAAAATTGGATCGTCACTTTCACCGGTCATACAAAACATTTGTGTGAAATGATTTTTCATTGTGGCTTCTGGAAAAGATGACAAAAAGCTCCAAGACTGATTGAAGCACTTGCCGCACCGTCTCAGTATGTTATCAGAGAGACATTGAACTACTTGCATTCTTACATAAACACAATGAATGCCTTCTCTAGACATAACGATACAGAGGTCAAACAACAGAAGAACTTTTTATCAGAACTTTTGCACGCGAGACCGCACATTAAGTCTGCAACACGGAGCGATACTTCAAAAAGCTGGGAGAAGAGAGAGTGCCAGTTGCAAACAGTGCGCTTTCTGCCTTACATCAAAGAACTACTGAAAAATATAAGAAGAATTTAGCCTAAGTAAAGCATGAACTCTTTCTGATCTGGTAACACGATCACTATCAACAAACACGGTGGATAACTCCAGGAACTACATGTTCGGATACGATGTGGCCAATCCTACATTGGTTAAACAATAATATCGTTGAACACCGTACTGCTGAGCACAATAACACTAGCAAATCGGAAGGAGTTGAGCATATTTGGTTTTTACTCACAATATAACATCAAGTGCCGCAAAGCCTCGATTACTAATCGATAGAATCACTGATTTCCACAATGCAGTCAGGCCACGTTGCAGTGGTGGTGCCACGGGGGACAAGGGGGGCAGTATGCCCCACCCGCCCTTTGCAAAATTTTATTGTTAGCGCCCTTCCGATTTTAAATATTTCACAAATCTATTGTTAGGTACATAACACGGAAAACCAATTAACGTGGCAACATTCGCTTTTAATACCCCGACCTCGATCAGTTGTGAATCCCATATTGCTCGCAATGCGAATGTGATCATTTTCTAAGACCTAAGAGATAGGAAATTGATTGTATCTCGGCGTGGCACTCGTAGCAGTAGTAGTAGTCTGGTTTGTTATTGTTACTTTGCCGAATAAACAGTTTGTCGAGCAGATTATCGAAAGTTACGCGAAAATAAGAAGTTAAATAATGCTGCTTCATCACATTCTCAAACGAAATAAAATTTCTGTAAAACTTTCAATTCGTAAGTTCTCAATTTTCAGTTGAAGAACCGAAATTGTATTCATTACGGAAACTTATACATTTACAGAGAAACAAAAGAACAATTAATTCAAACTCAAAGTTGTGTAGAGGAATCGGTCAGTACGGTCAGTACGGAGTCAACATTTCTTGATGTTCCATCTACATCAACCTAAATAAGAATAAAATCCGATTTTTCATTTTACTGATTTAACATTTACGGAAGTTGATTTTAATTCGGATTTGGATAGTGATAGTACTCAAGGACAACACGATTCTGATAAGATGCCTGCTGAGGGTGGAAAAAACATTTTGTTTTTACATGGATCACTTTATAATTGATATTTCAATTTTGTCGTCAACCCATTTTTATTCAAAAATACTAGTTTGGTCTCTGAAATAGTGCATCAACTAATTCTGAAAGGACTTGGCAACCTGGGTTATCAGTGGATTACCAAGACTTTCCAGTTTACAATTAGAGAAAATTTGAATTTTCTCGGTACAATCTTAAAAAAACGACCTCCTGGATAACGCAGCGTATGTGAATGGTTAGTTTACTCTCCAAGAGGTAATAAAATGTTTTGTTTTGTATGCTGGCTTTTTGATGGTGCTCATTGTTTATTATTGAAATATTTCTTTCATTAGAGTTTTGTGATATTATTTCTTTTCCTAATCTTGGCGCCTAGTTATAGTGTTCTCCCCCCCCCCCCTTAAGTTTTAGAATCGCCACTGCCACGTGGCAAACGTGGGAACATTTTCTTTCAAGCGGTGAAACGGTTTGCACTGCACCGAACCAAGAAATCGCTAGATACGAGAAGAGAGGAGAAAATGTTCCTAATTAAAGATCTGAATAGTTTTACAGCATCAGGAAGAAAATAGTATTTGCTGAAGACTATTGTTCATTAATGAAAAAGTCCTTTTTTTCACCCTTACTTACCTATATTTACTTTTGATTTTTATGAATTTTTGTTGAAAACTTTTCCTAACCTATATTTGTAACTCATTCAAATCACAATAATTCGTTTTTATTCAGAGATCAGTGTATAAATAAGAATAAAATCCGATTTTTCATTTTACTGATTTAACATTTACGGAAGTTGATTTTAATTCGGATTTGGATAGTGATAGTACTCAAGGACACACTTCTCCGTTTCTGTACAAAAAAAAAATTGAAAAAGTGTGAAACAAAAAAGGAAACAAAAAAGCAATGAAGTTTAAAATGAACTCGTTACGAAGGTGTGTTGATTATACATAGAAACTATCAGATACAAACTGGAAGAAAAAACCGTCCCAAAAACCTACTTTCACATAAATATTGAATTACATGAAACAAAAAATACTTCCTGAATAACTCTTCATATGAACATTGAATTATACGGAAATCATGTTTTCCTATTCAGTTTGTTCTCAAAACGTTCGTTATGGAATTTGATCAGACTCCATCCACAGGAACGCTACACAATATAATATAAGAAATAGTTACGATATGAAATTTCACTTAGAAAAAACACTATCATCCTCAATTACGGACTTTGGAGTTTCAGAAAAAGATATTCATATCATCACCTTATCAGCACAAATCTGGATAATATCTGGATAATATTACAAAAAGCAACTCTCATTTTCTCCAATTTGTATCTGATAGTATTTTCCATGCATGATGTATCTCTACGTCTTTATAAAGAGTTCATTTGGAACTCTATTATTTTCTTCTTTCCTTCGAAAAGTCCTCGCATTTTTTTCATAAAGATGAAAAAGTGAAACCCAGAAAGCTTTTATCCCAAAAACCATCTACCCCAAAAGTATCCCTTTTTCAAGTTGGACAAGATTCCTGTGGCTAGGTTTAGTTCAGTTCAGGCTTTACGTGTTATCATTAAAAGGATTTGAAAGTTTAATAACTTCAAATTATCATATGCGAGTGCTTTCGATAGCAGACTTTGCTATCATCTTCATGGCTCTATTCAAACTGAACGTTTTATCTTCTTGTTTGTTCTTTTATACGGTTAGAACGCCTTAATGCAGGTATTTGTCCTCTACTTCCATCCAGAAAACATCAAACTCAT